TGCATAGCTGGAAGACTTCAAGAACTATGCTCAAAATAACAAGGCTCAGGTTTACAGTAGAAAATGGTGAATAGTTTATGAACACTGGAAATATTCAGGTGCATTAAGTTTTTGTATAAATACCTTCTAAGAAAATCCAAGGAAGACCCAGCATTGCAGAAGATTTTGGTAGTGTACACTTGCTTTAGCAAAGGAACTTTTGTGCTTAAGCATTGGTAAACATTACCCACCAGGGCAAGAAAGACAGGCAGAGGTAGTCTGAATGTCTACTATTCAATAGCATAGAATATGCCCCTTCTTTACATTGTCACCTCATTTAATTTATTTTCTTTTTACAGTAGACATCCTCATTTTACAGCCCCCCCTTCCATAAAAAAGAGGGAGCGAGAAAGTAGTCATAGAGGTTCATTCTACTAATAAAATTGTCTATAAAGTAAACAATCTGGTCCCAAGATCTTTTCCAACATTAATATCAAATTTTGTCAGTAATGGCTGTTATCTCAAAGAAATTAACAAGTTGAGGTGTGTGTCCTTGAGACTGCCTCAGTTGTCTTACCATAGTATATACTGATGCTTACTGAAACTGAGGCTAAATGATTAAAAAAAAAAAAACTTTGCTAATCATCATGTAATGATTTAGGAATTATTCTGAGTAACAAGCAACTCAGAAGATGTCATCCAACATCTAGAAAAGCAAGTTTTGCTCACTATTTGCTGTGATTACTTTGAAATTGGTTTTCCTGGCTCTTGCAGACTTCTGCAGCCTCAGCTCCTGTTCTCTGTAAGATGTAACTGTTGGGCCCTCCCTGGTGGCAAAGCAGATTAGAGCACTGCAGTGCAAAGCTAAGGCAAGCTATGGCTGCTTCAGTGGGAGTTCTATCCCTGCCCTGGAGGTGATCCACATGACGCAGCAGACCTCGCCTGTCTTGCCTCAACAGTGTATTTTCTCGATCTGCCTATTCTCTGCACCCCACTCTGTTTCTGGTGAATCCTCTCGCTGCCCCTGCACCTCTGGCCTGTACCCCATTTCTGTATGCATAAATAAATAAAATCTTAAAAAAAAAATAAAAAAAGATGTAACTGCTGCTGCAGCAGGTTGACTGGAGAATTTTCTCCTGTCTTCTTGGTTGGCATCATTTTGAAAAATATTTTCTGCTTTGTGCTCCCATGTTTCAGCTTTAACTGTGTGTGGAATGCATGAACCTAGTTTTGTTAAGTTTGGTAACACAATTTAGCTGATGCCACTATCTGAATCCTAGGAAGAAACTTAGGAGGAAGGAAGCCTTGTCCAAAGGAATTAACACTTTCCCTCTAGCTTTATTTGCAACTTTAAACCTACACAATGAGAGAAATACCACCCTTGTTAAGATTTTGAAGTGATAGAAATTGAGGACAATGGGAGTTAATTGTTTCATTTACTTCTTGCTAGCATTACAAAGGCCAGCCCTTAGTTTTCTCTTCAGTTTTTCTAACCTTTCTTCCCAGAGTCCTGTTCACTTTCTTCTGGCCTCCTGAGGTCTGAGATACCTAGCATTTTATTGTTAATGTTAGGGGGAAAGGATGTCCTGAAGGAACTCTGCAGAGTTTTATGGATGCCACCCCCACTCCAGTTTTTGGCCTTCACCCCCTACTCCAGTCATTGAAACTACAACTCCACCCCTAATCTAGTCAAACTACAACTCCCAGAAACACCAAAGGGACAACTTTGAGGACCCAAGGGCAGAGCTAATTTTCTCTCTCTCTCTCTCTCTCTCTCTGTGCCTGGTAGTTCGCGCCTGGTGGATCTTGGTGAGGTTCAGTGTGCTGTTGGGGTCCAAGTCAGTGGAACTGGTAGAACACTCTAGTTAACTTGTATCTCTCTCTCTCTCTCGCCCCACCACACACATCCCTCCCCCAGTTGTTCCTTTTCTTTCCCCTTTGTAAATAAACCCATCATTGACCTTTTTGTGTGTGCCCGCAGTGCAATTGATGAGCGTGTGGGTGAGGACTCACAGATATGCAACCCAGTTCACATTGGCTTGCCCTATGACATTAAAACCTTGGTCGTCTTAGTTATCACCTAATCCCTGCAAAGGAGGTAGTTGATGAAAGCTTAACAGGGGTGTGTTTATTCTTTTCTGAGTATTTTATGTTGGTGTGGTGAATACAAATATGTTAAGTGCTTCCGGTGGGCGATTAAGAATAAAGACGCAGGAGGGTCCTTGGTAGAGGAGTCATTTGGGTTGTGGAGTATGGGCGGCCCCACTCCTATGAATTCCTATCAGCCTCCCTCCCCCACATGAGTCTCTCTGGATGTTTCTCTGTGAAGGCAAAGCATCCCTGTCTTTGAGCAGCACCTAGTTGGCAACTAATGCCTTTTGCCTGTAGTAGTGGCTGCCACATTTACTTTGATGGTCAGCACTTCTGGGCGAAACTTGCTTCACTGGATGTTGGTGGCGGCACCAGGCACCTCCAATGACCAAGTTCTCTTCCTCCCCCAGAGACCATGGAGGTGCTTTTAAAGTAGAAGAATACCTCCTCATAGAATTTGGTTCCAGGAGAAATCTATATTTTGCTCTTCTTTCTGCTTTGATCTACTGTGAGAAATTTTGCAAGCCACGGTATTTCCTCTCATCTGTAGTACAACCTTTTTGAACTCAACTATCAAGTATTTTTAGATACTCATCTGAATCAGAGTTGGATGCAAGATCACTATGAAACTTGTCTTTCCGATGAAAAACAAGAACTGTTTATTTATATTAATTAGTACTCTTTATCATGTAAAATACCGACTCTGAGTAAGATGGTCTACATATATTTAGAGAAGCAATATAACAGAATGTGTAAAAGCAATTGTCTGGGTTGATGAGTTCAAATCCTAACTCTACCTTAAACAAGTAGTGTAAATTTACATAAATTACCTGATTTCTCTGTGCCTGTAGGCCACTGATGGGAACTAATCCAGGTGAAGTGCTTAGTTTCTGATTCCTATTAACAGCTCAATAAATGCTTTTCTAATTTCCCATTAACAAGTTTACAAAGAGGAAACTAGACTGAAGTCAAAGAATATATCCAAAGTCACAGATAGTCACTGGGTTTAAGTCAGGTCGGTCAGCCCACAAGACCCCTCAAGCCTTCTCTGCATAGAAGGAGTGTGAACCATTATTTTTTGTTTTCTCATTTTGTGTCTTTTGGAGTAATAAAAGAGGCACTTCTTTTTTACATCCTGCTGAGCCCCCTAATCATTTTTTACTTACAATTTTTATCGCAGGTATAAATATCTTTTGAAAATGAAGTGGTAGAATTCTTTTTTTTTTTTTTAAAGATTTATTTACTTATGCCTACAAGAACTGGGGTAAAGGCCACAGGTGTGGGGTGTGAGAGGATTCACCAGAGACAGTGTAGGGAGCAGAACAGGCCTGATCGGCTGAAATATACTGCTGAGGGGAGCCATGGGAGAGACAGGAGAGATCTGCTGCTTCATGTGGGTTCCTTGGCTGGGGATCGAACTCATGCTGCAGTGACTGAGGATACCTTCATAGTGCTGAGACTTAACCCCTTGCACCACCAGGGAAGACCCAGTCTTTTTTTCCCTTCTTGCTATTCTTGGATACTGCTTGCTCCCATGAGGGATGACACCAACAAAAGGACAAAGTACCTTGGCTTCTAAGTTTCTGTAGAAGAGGGGAGAACTGCAGGTGTCCAGAGCACCCTGAATGCTGTTTTTTTGACCTTGGGATTTCCTGTTCTCCAGGCTACTGGGTGGCTACACACTTCACTGTGGGACTGAGGAAGAACTTACATGTGTAACATAAGGTAAGGGATTTGTCCTCTATCATTAATGGGAGAGCAAAATATGTTGAATATTCCCATATAATCATCACTGTAAATAATTTTGTGATTTTTCTACCTAAAGTCAGATTTTGATAAGAGGAAGGAAATTACACGTAACACTGGGTGGCAATAGGACTCTGGAAGTATCCAAGCCTGCTTAGATGGTGTTTGTGCCTAAATGAGGAACACCTGAGAAATCTTCACCTCTGTCTCACATGTATAGCTGGTCTGGATTGCAGACTCTTATCAGGCTCAAATATATCCTGGTACTTGTGGGGAGAAGTCTGACATTTCTAAAGAATTAAGTATCTCTGATATCAAATAACGTATCACGTACATCAAACTGCTCTCAGACTGATTATTCATCTTCTTTTCTCTTTGGCTCCATGGCATAATAAATCAAAGGGTGAGAGGCCCAGTTCCACTGGTCCCCTGAGAAGAGGTGAATCTGCTGTGAAATGATGGCTGTTGAGATCCAGCTCCCTTATTTACTTATATCCTAGCAATGTATAAGATCATTGCAAATGTGCAGAAGACATTTCAATGACAATATTAAATAAGCCTACAGTTCCTTTCCACTTCTATTTTTCTGTGTCTGGTGTCCTTGCAGTGGTGATGGGCATTTATGGATCTAGTTCAAGAGAAGCTGAGTTAGAGATATATTTTGGTGAGAGGATGTATTTATGTCATTCACGCTCAGTCTGTACCGAGTTAAATTGCTGCTGTTCTGAAGTAGCAATGGTTTCCAGGAGTATTTCTACGAACAAACATGTCATTTCCGCAGTACAAGACACCACCACCATGTCAAAATGGTAACTAAGGGTTCCTTTAATAGTGGGGGGTGAATGTCTTTTTATATCTTCATCAGATTATTTGTTTTTCTTGAAAATGACTTTTGGCAACAGTGGGTTATTTACATGTTAAGGATGAGCTGGGCCACAGAGTCATTCATTTTAGGCAGGGGGAATATCTATTTCACCACAGTTTTTACTACCAAACATCTGACCTACTTCACTAATTTATGCACCTTATGTAGAGTGCACTTTTTTTGGCAAATGAAAATGTAAAAAGGCATATAAAATGTAAAGAAATTTCTTAATTTTTTTCATTTATAAGTTAATGAAGACATCATAAAGCTTCTTTGCTTTATTTGGGTTTCCTAGTAGGTTCATCTCTTTAAAAAGTTGGTAAGAAATAAAGAGACAGAAACAGTAAACACGCCAGAGATAGGAACTTCTTCCCAGTTTTTATCAAGAGACCACTGTTTTGGCTGGTGAAAATGATGACCGAAAAGTTTCATACTTCCTGGAGTTCCACTATTTTACGCTGTAATTTCTTTAGGTTTTTCTGTACTTTATGTTTCTCTAAGTCCATCTTTGTTTTCTGAATTTGTTGGAGGGAGTTGAGGGAGTCATGAATCGATTTGAATCCTGGAAGAGGTTAGGAGAAAGTGAACTTAAACAGTGTATCCAAAAATGTATTTAAAAAAATTGCTCATCAGCCATCCTGCCATACTTGATCATCATTTAATTCAAAGCATTTTAAATGCTATTAAGACTGGTTGAAAATCTACAGTAATATATTTCTTGTGTGTTATAAAGATGCATTCTTAGCAGTAACATTTCAACTTACAGCTGGCTTCACTGTAAAAATTTAGTTTAAATGCTCTCCTCCCCAAAAATATATTGTATAATGAAACAATTCTTTATTTCAAGAGAGAAATATTTTCCTCTTTCTATTTTGATGCCCTTGCTGGAGGTAACTGCTTAGCTAAAGTCAGCTTTTTTTTTTGCTGAATTTGACAAAAGGTTTTGGGGAATCTCTTTCACCCCCCTTTCTAAAATAATATTTATTACCAATTTGGAGGTTAAAAGCCAGATGAGATTTTAAATATTCCCTAGAAGTAACCTGTGTGAGGGACTAAAGAGTACCCACTCTCGGCTCCCCATTTCCCAGCCCTTTGTATCTTGCGCCATCTAGTCACACAGGACCCCAGACGATACAGCCTATTTCCTATTCACAAGTCATTTATCAACACATTTTTATTAACAGCATAAGAGAACACACCAATTGTTTGGAATCCTGTTTCCTCCAACTTTACAAAACACAGAAATATAGACTGCAAATTTCTCTTCCTATCATCTTGGGTTTGTACCTTAGAATGAAAAAAAATTAAATCTCTGATACTTACATAGAAAGAAGAGAGTTATATTCAGAACATGACTCTTGAGCAGATAACTTATTTTGTTATTTTGATTTGGAGTTGAGGGGTGGGGGTTGGGGGTACCAGTCAGATTTTCAGGCAGCAAACTTCTGATACAGAAGACCAGTGGCTTCTTAAGGTAGCTCCATACAGGGCCAAAATTTGGAAGAATTCACATGTTTTTTTTAGTTCTAGAGGGCAGAAAATGAACTGGGGCTTTCTCTACTAAAGGAACCCTCTTATTTCCAGTAAATTCCTTCAGAATTATAATTTGGGGCAGATGGCTGCACCCCAGAACCTAGCCTACATCCTTTCCTTTGGCAAATTAGATGAGCCTTTCAAATTAATCCTCTTTGATGTTAGCTCAGCTTGACACTGCTGCCATTAGCCTACTTAAGAAGAAAAGCAGTCATTATAACAAACTCTATTAATTCATCTCTTTCTCATTTCTAAAGGTCAGGTATCCAGTCTGACATCTGTCCAGGCTCATTAGAAGTTCAATGAGAGGGTCATTTGATTTGGGCACCTAATTTCATGATCTACCCACAAGTTAGGTGTTGGTGATCTTCACGGAGATTCCAAGTTAAGGACTCTGTGATCTTAAAGAGCAGAAGTCTCACAGCAAAGCCAGACTGACTGCTGAGGGAATGTGGACCCCTTTGCTGGCTTTTTCTGGGACGTTAAGGAAAGTCAGGCTAAATACTAAAGGATATCACTGATGACATGACTAATCCCTGCCAGTAGCTCTAAGTAGAAAACTTGGAGGCACTGGGTAGAAAGGATAGGGCAATTGCTTGGAAACAAAGATTTCTGCTCACCTGATTGATATTCATTCTGCATTTTCTCTAATTCACCCCAGATGAGGTTTTCCAGTTGGTTCATCTTTTTGGACAGTTTGTTTTCTATGTGCTTTGCTTTATTTAGTTCTGCTTCCTGTTTCTGTATATTTATGAAATTCTCTAATTTGCTTGATAGTTTCTGTAATTTTTCTTCCATTTTATTTTCAGATTTTTCCTATAAAAGATATTATGTAGTAAAACTGCAGAAGAAAAATCTATGTGGACTTTTACTTCAGCCTAGAAAGCATTTTTTCCCCATAAATTCCTCCTTTCAGGTTAAGACATTAAACAAGAAAATTCAAACAGTTCTCTTGTATCTAAATCTGTATTCACAGGTGTAAGAATTCCCTGCTTTGTTTGGCTTTATTCATGTAGTTTCCAGAACTCTCTATGTTAAGGGAGAAAAGAAAAGATCTTGCTGCGATGCCTTGAAGACTTGGTTTTGGTCTAGATCTTAAAGCAGGATAGCCAGAGGGGTTTTAAAGATCACCTGACCTGGGCTCCTTGAACCTGCTCCTGGGTGTTAAATGACTTTAGCTTGAATAATGATTCTCCACTTCTGCTGTCTGTTTAGAATCACCTGGACTATGCTCTATACACAGAGCTCCTGATATAATTGGTCTAGGATGGAGGGCAGGAATGATCTAGTTACAACCTCTCCAGGTGATTCAAAGGTACAATGGCAGCCTGAGGCTTCCCAGTGCCTCTGCACTTTCCCCAGGGGATTTGGGTGCAGAACCTGGGTGAGGCTGGCATGGCCTTTCCTTTTCCTCTCTCTGGCTCTGCCTGCCTCAAGAAAGATTCTAATCTCTCTGTCCCTGATGGTGGGAGACTTCTGCCTACAGGTGACCCAGTGTTCATTTTGGGCTTCCTCTACCTGGTGGAAGAATCAGCCTGAGGCCCTCCCTGGTGGCACAGTGGTTTAAAGTACAGCACTAAGAAACTAAACCCACTTCAGCATAACTTTGAACCCCAGCCCTGGAGGTGATCCACATGGCGCAGCAGACCTCTCCTACATACGCGCTGTTCCCCTCAGCAGTGTACTTGGTCAGTCAGCCTGTTCTACTCCCCTCTGGCTCTGGTGAATCCTCTCACCACCCCTACACCTCTAGCCTGTACCCAATTCTGTATGCATAAATAAATAAATCTTTAAAAAAGAAAAAAAGAAGAATCAGCCTGAATCTAGGAAAAGTGCTAGTAGGTCCTCCAGGCTATAGATATGACCACACATATTTTGATAGTTTCATCTGTGATAAAGTTGTGTGCTCATGTTCCTCTCTTCAATAGACTCCCATGTATCGGGGGACTCTAACTCCAAAGTTGGGGAGTTTCTCTACAAGGTCTGACTTAGGAAAAGAGTTTTGAAAATCTCTAATATACTGAAGGATCTTCAGGGAGTTAAGTTACTTGTTTAAAAGCAGAGGTTTTCAACATTATGATGGCTAGGGACTACTCAGGGAGTTGTCTAGAAGCACAGATTCCTGGGAAGCTCCACAGGGGCTGATACCTCAGCTGTGGTTGGGATCAGGAGTCTGTATCTAAAAGAAACTTTAGGTTCTGTGGGCACAGGTAGAGCACATAATGTGTGTCAAGGAGTTGGGAGGGTGGGGAGTAGCAAACACGGCCAGAAGCTAAGTCTCTGGATTTCTACTCTGGCACTAACAGCAAAACAAAACAAACCACAATCCACACAAGTCACATGGTGAAGATTATGATGAACGTCAAAGTGCCTCTTTCAAGACCTTCCCTCACCACTAGCTCCCAGAGCGTGACCACAACTGTCTACTGGGTGGATAACGGAGCTCCTTACCAGCTTCTCCTGAAGGAGTTTCAGACACTGATTTATATGGTCGAGGTGGTCTTTTTCATATTTGATGAAGCGATTTTCTGTCCATTTTTGAAGGTTTTCAGCTTCCTCACACAGATTATTTGAAAGTGAATTAAATCTAAGGGGGGGAAATAGTATGTTCTACTTTAATAAGTAAATTTAAATATAAAACCAAAACTCCACATTGAGAAAGTTTGCAGTCCTTTCAGAGGGTGAGAATCAACATGGCTGACTGGTAGTTAAGGGGTGTTCAGCCAGAGTTCAGCCCAGCTGCAGACAACACCCTTGCTGCACACACACCCTAGAATAAGCACAATACACACAGTGTCAGGGACAGAGCCGCTCAGAACCCATGTGTTACCCACTAAGACTTCCTCTGTATGTGCAAAGAAAGACTTAGGTAAGTTAGTCGGAGTGGAAATTATTACTCTGTAGTAGAGATTGGCAAACTTCCTCTGTTATTCCCAGGTTGTCACTCTGTCTCCAGTGAAATATTCAGAAAAAATTCCCTATTGCCAACAATGGGTGTCTATGAATGGATTCTTTGGGGAGAGGATTGCAGTAGTCCTGAGTTCCTCATGTAGACACAGACAGAAATACTAGGCAGAGGTGCAGGAAGGGTAGCTGATATACCATAGTGTTAAATAACATTGAATGATTTTTAAAAATAGAAGCAGATGTATTGCAGAGATTAAAACAATTGGAATCACAACACATCAATTTGAAGTCACTGCAGAGTGTTGAAGATTTGAACAGACATTTGAAATATCAGAGAAATATGGGACTAAGAAGAGGTGGAATTAATGAAGAGCTTGGTTGAATAGATGTCAACTTCAAATCCCCTCTTCAAATAGAATATTAGATTGCCAGGAACATGCTTGCTTTTAAAATTATTCAGACTATCATGTGGGGATGACTTGGAATAGTATTTGCTGTAATGTTTAAAGAAAAAGATTATATGCAGATAACTTAATTCAGATATTTATGACTGGAAATGGCTTAATATGTGCTGCACATACATTGCATGTATATGTGTAGTTCTTCTGAGAAAGTGTTTGGATGAATGGTTGAAAAAGAAAGTTATGTGAGGACATTTTCATTTTTTAATTAGACCAGGGGTCATTTAGCAATGTTGGAGGACATTTTCATTTGTCCGGATGAGAGATGTTTCTGAGCAGTAGTGGTAAAACCAAGGATCCTATTAGATACCTTTTAACCCACAGGACAGGCCCACAACAAAGAATTATCCAGCCAATAGTTCCAAGACTGCTCTTAGTGGCAAGGTTGTGAAGTCCAGACGTGGAAAATAAAATCAAAGAATGGGAAATGTGAATTAATTTTTCAATAGCTATAGTTGTTGTAAAATAGTTAAATTTTGGTCTCTATCTTTCTGAATAATCACAGATTACTTTGGCTATTTTCAGTGATATTTTTTACATAGAACACATACTTTGATTCAGGCCAGTACCACAACATAGAAGGAGATAAATGTGGTTACATTTGGCTATTTTCAGTGATATTTTTTACATAGAACACATACTTTGATTCAGGCCAGTACCACAACATAGAAGGAGATAAATGTGGTTACTTTTCCTTAGCTTAGTCTAATCTTGTGTCCAAACACCTGTGCTACTGATTCACAGATATTAGCTCTCAGACAGTTAAGCTCCTAGCTGATAGGTGGGCAACCTCGTTTTAGCCAACTTGTTTCACTGTCTGGAGTACTTTTCTTTAGAATACACCATGGTTCTTGCTCCAGATCAGATTTATATTCAAACACCACCTTAGCATGCTGTTTTTTGACCACACACACACACACACACACACACACACACACACATCTCATTTCTTTCCTGATTCTTTATTTCCTTCCCCTATTTAATTTTTCTCCAAAATGCTTATCACTATACAATATATACTAAAGTGTGTGCTGTTTTCTTGACCAGAATCTAAGCTCCATGAAAGCAGGTATTTTGCTTTGTTCTTGGCTCTGAAAAATGCCTGAAATCTAGAACATGCTGAATAGTTGTCACACAGTGGCTCACACTTTCTCAGTGAATATCTTTTATGGATTGTTCACAAATAACAAATCATGATCTTGTTAAGTGATCTAGAGACCTAATCTTTAATTTTATCTTCTTTTCTCTCTCTATGTTAGGAACAATATACAGTGGTGCTTAAGGGGACATTAAATTCCCACATAAATGGAGGTAGCTTTATAATTGAGAATTCTATCATTGCTCATTTCTATTGTGTAAATAATTGAAAGTACTTGCTTTCATCACTGGTACAAAATTAACACCACTCTGAAAGTCAAAGAACCGTTAAAATGTGCCTGAGAAATATCTCTGAAAGAGGATATCAGTTAATGAAATTCTGGAATTAAAATAAAGCCATAAAGACTGAATTGCTACTTATGATCCTTTTATTAAGAGGTTTTGGCTGCAACTGGAACCTCACTTTCTTCCTAAAAATCAGACACTGGGCTCTGGTGGTAGTTTATTAAAATACAAAATACTTTTTAAAAGCATTTTCTGTGAAAGATAAAAAGAATATGATAAAACTGTATGTAAAACAGTTTAACTTGCCTCAGGTTTTTCCCTAACATAATGGGCATGATATTTCCTTGTATTACTTTTCTGTTAATTATAGAACTTACAGTTAAAATGTGAACAGGATGAATTTATTTAAATGATAATCACATTGTAGTTCTCAAATCCTCTATTTCAATGTATATGGGTGTATTTTTATCAGATGTAGCTAGATTTAGGTAGGCAGATAGATCGGTAGCTAGGCATGAATATTTGCAGGTAGCTGAGTAGGTAGATTATAGATAGATAGATAGACAGTTAACTTGCTTTTTCCTTTATCTCAGAGCACAAAAGTCAGACTTAAATTATGGCTAGAGAACTCCTAGGATAATGATAATGAGATATGGGCTGTTTCTGTTTTATTTCAATTTTTTTGTACCAATAGAACTAGTTTAACATACACACCAATAGTAACAATAGGAAAGACAGTTACAAAAGGATAAAAGAAAATTTCTAAGTTTATAACTATATGCTTTATACTTTCTTAATATTCTGTGATTTCTAATCAGTCACACTAATTAAAAGCAATTCCAATTCCACTCTGACATGTAATCTTGGCTCTTGGTCATTTCAAATTGTACTTGAGCTTAAATCCCAGTATCTTCATAGTCTTCCCATTTTTTTCTTTAAGGTTTATTTATTTATCCATATAAGAACTGAGTTGTAGGCCAGAAATGTGGGAGGTGAGAGGATTCACCAGCAACAGAATCGGGTGCACAACAGGTGTATCTATTGAAATACATGCTGAAGAGAGTAGCAGAAGAGACAGGAGAGGACTGATGTGATCTTTCCATTTTCTAAAATAACCTGAGTCAGAGACTTCCTAGCTCTGCAATTGAAAATTATTTAACTTCCATGATTATGATTTTGTATGTCCCAAAACACAACTTACATATTATAAGTATTAAAAAAAATCTGCTCATTCACTCATTGGCTTTTGTGTGTCTAGATGTCCTGGATGCTGAGGATAAAAAGATGAATTAGAGGAATCTTGTGTGGGGATAGTCTGTAACTTTTTATTGTGGTAGTGTTTTCAAAGTTGCGCGGTAAGATTTGAGTTTATGCATTTGCTTCACTGCCCAAACACTTGTTCTTTTCTTATAAATCAAAAAGTCAATTACTGAGTAATGTATATAGGATTTATTTTTAATGCCCTTGCTTTCTCTATCCATATAATATGGGATATATTTCTTTCTATATACCCTTTTCGCTATTACATATGTATATTAAACATTTACATATCACTGGTTTTAGTTATGTTAGGAAACTGAGATGGTGACCTCTTTTTTCATTTTTATTTTTCCTACTACCATGAATTTTATTCTTTAATAAACCAGTGGGGAGAAAAATCATACTCAAAAGAATAGAATGTGTGATTAAATGAATCATTAAGTATCTGAGGATATAAATTGACTGCTACCTATATTAATACTGATGGAATTTTAAGGTTTTGTTATTTTAAATGAGAAAACAAATGAAGTTTATACTTTCACAAAAGTGTCCAGATTCAGATTAACTCCTTAGATGATTTGTTTCTAAGTCAATTTCCTATGGAACTGAAGATGGAAAAAAGCATCATCATCGTGTTCATCATCACCAGCATCATCACTAAGCAGTTAGCTCTAGATCTCAAATATCCTTTCTCCCTCTTTTTTTATGTGTTAATATATTTTATCCTTTTAAACTAGTAATCCATTTCAGAGTGTAAGTACTTTTCCTCCCCACCCCCCCATGAAAATCAATTCTTATACTGTCCTTCAAAGCAGTTTAGTTTTCTACTTCTCCTTTGCACACTTTCTCTTAATTGTTAAGTAAAGGGAATTGACCATGCACACATGGTTATTTGCTGAGCTTCTCACTGTGTTAGAATTTCAGGCCCTAGGTATTCTTTATTAGAGTCTGAAGAAACTGGTGTTTTCTGTTTATTCAAGGTACCTACTTCTCTGGATTTTAGTGATTGCTATTTTCATCAACTTCCAGGACACACATCTTTTCCATCTTAACATTTCTGAAATCAGGTGATATCTTAAGATGATGGTGGCTATGGTTTAATTAGAAACTTCATATCTTACAAGTACAAAAATATAATGGTACATCTGATAGTCAATGGTATTTAGGTGTAATGAAATAGTAAAGATAAAGCAATTTGGAGAAAACAGAATTACAGAAAACTGGACTAGACCAAGGCATTAACCTCAAGTGATATTAGATAGGGAGGGGAAAGAAGGAAGGCTGAAGAGACAGGTAGTGTCAGCCAAGTCACTAGAACTTTCCTTTCTTTGTTCCACACTTCCTGGGATATGTGGCTATTAAAACAAAAAAAGAATATTGAGAATAAGTAGGTAGAAATATGGAGTCTTGTCTCATTTATTGTTTTATTTTATAGAGGAAAAATTCAGGTTAAGATGGAATAGAGGCCCATCTTGGAAAAAATGTGTATAAAGGAGAAAATAGAGGATCTTAGAAGAATCTTAAAAGAACAGTTTGCCATAATTGTTTGATAATCTTGTGGGATAGATATATATTCAATAGTACTTTACATAGAAGTATTTTAATGTGCAATTGCTGATAAGATAAAATCACTCCATTGAAATGGTTAGAATAAGTATGGCAATTCAATAAAGAGATTATGCAAACAAAGAGAATGACAAAATTAATATTGATATTTCTTTTATTATGAATTTTGTATAAGTTTCTTTGTGCAGAATTCTCTTTGCATCAGCTTGTTGCTTTGCTTCTTGGCCAGATTCATATTCTTGGGGAAAGTGTTTTAATGCCAACTCTTTTATGAGACAAAACCCTTTGAAATGCATTTAACAGAATTAAAAATCTTCCATTCACTTACTTGAATTCCAAAAGGTTTATTTCATGGCGATAATCTCCCTGGACCATCTTTATATTTGAGGCTTGCTCAGAACTGGAAGCCTCTATCTTTCCTAAGAGCTGCGTTACCTAATAAAAGTACAAAACAGAGCTTTTTTGTGTGTGTATAAAGAAAAACCACTAGACTTACATTAATTCTTCTGTATTCCTAAAGGAGCTAGGAAATAGACTTGAGCCTAAAGCATGTCTCCATTTGAAAATATTTTTGCAAAGGAATAATTCAACAGCTATAGAATAATCTTCAGGGAAAGAGTAATAGAATAATAATAAAGGTAATAATAACAACACCTACTGATATAACCAAAACAGATTACTGACATTATAAACACAAATTATTTTTGTTATTTCTTTATTTTCTGACTCCATGGTTAACAGTATAACTTACCTTATCCCTTATCACCACTATATCCTCAGTGCACCCTGGGTAGCCCATGGCAAATGCTCACCAAATACTTACTGAATAAATGTTTAAATGTGCAAATAGGTTTTAAGCAAAACAGAACTTAAAATTGGTTTAAGATTAGGCCTCAGGAATTTCCAGGTTAGAATTCTGACATAAGCACAAGTGAATAATGGTAAAATGACATAGGACATAGAAAAAAAGGAAAAAAACAGTTCCAGTCCTGGTTGGGATAAGGACACCTTTTCCAATGGCAGAAACTTGAGGTATTTCCTTTAATAAAAGGACTAGGTTAGAAAACAGAACCAGAGTCACAGCACATAATCACACGCACTATCAAGGGGAGTGGAACTACATGACTGGATTTGACCAAAAAATTTCACTTCTTGAGACAGATGGTCAAATGGAGGCAAGCAGGTAGTTAACAAAATCATAGTTCTCTTTTAAAAAAGAAAGAGGTGAATAAGGCTGGACTAGATAACTGTTGAGTGGGCACCCAACAGCTGAATGGCCGTTTACAGGAGACACACTGAGCACGGGCCATTAATAGGAGGAGCACTTACAAGCAGGATTGCTATCAATAAAATAACAGGCGAATATATACTTGGCAAAAACACAGCAAAAGAAAGCAAGCCAGAGAAATATTGTTCAGGAGACTATTATAGTTCAAAGTAAAATACATTAAGTGAACTTTCATAGATGGTCATATTTTATAGATGAAAAAGTAAAATCCATAGTGAAAAATAAAGAGTTTTGACCTTCCATTTGCCTTCATATTGAACTATGAAGTAACAACTGAAGAATTACAAAGATAAACTAATGGAGACAATATTAGTGATTATCAGTGACTCCTCACTCTTTAATGGTCAAATAAGTAAAATATAATAACATAAAAAGCTATGTGTGAAAAATATTGTTTATTTAGTAGACGTCTCTAACAAACATTCTAACCTCCAAATGGTAGCGTTCTTTCCCGTGCCCACTGAGTTTTCACAACTAAACACATAGGACACTGTAAAGGGAAACTCAACTTATTCCAAAAAGCTGGAAAAGCGCTGATCCTAACTCTAACCATATTGTGCTAAAACTAGAGATTAGCATGAAAAGTATACAGAAACAAGAACTTAACCACTTGAGTTAACAACCCTTTGTAATTCTATTTTTTTTTTAAAGATTTATTTATTTGTACATACAGAACTGGGGTACAGGCCAGAGGCTCAGGGGCGGTGAGAGGCTTCACCAGAGACAGAGTGGGGAGCAGAACAGGCAGATCGACGAAGTACACTGCTGAGGGGAGCAGCGGGCGGGTCAGGAGAGGTCTGCCACGCCATGTGGTCACCTCCGGGGCAGGCGGGAATCGAACTCATGCGGAAGCGGCTTCAGCTTCTCAGTACAGTGCTTTAACCCGCTGAGCCACCAGGGAGGGCCTGTAATTCTATTTTTAATGTCAGTGTTTGAGATGAACATTTTCACATGAAAAGAGATGATCATAATTGGCTGTGACCACATGTCTGGACATGGTTGGACTGACCGCCCCAGCCCATGTCTGGGCAGCAGTCTTCTGATGAATGATTTGAAATTTAGTTAGACTGGCACTGCTGTTTAATACCTGCTGTCTTTTTCATAAAAGTCAGACCATATTGCTGACTCTTTGCTCTTTTCATCTCCTCCAGCTCCCTCCAGTTTTTTATCCTCAATAAATCTCCTACACATCTCTATAAGTACCAGAGTGTAAATCAATTCTTCAATTACATTTATCTAGCAAAGGATAATGAGAATATTACATATTAAATGGACACAGCCACATCTATAATCAGAAATAAAGTTGTGAAACTTACTTTTTTCACAATTATACAAGATAGTATGAAGCTATGTGGACTAATCATTTATTTCACAGTTATAAAAAGAATGATAAACCTATAAAAAGAATGATAAACCTAAGCAAAGGAAAGCAGGCTGGAGGGGAGCTAAAAAGAGTTTATGCAATTTAACAAGCAAATGACTCAATCAAAAGTGGAAAGCACTATGCAGCACTTTTACAAAGAAAAACATACAGGTGGCCAATAGGCCCATGCAAAAATACTGATCATAATTTACATCAGGGAAATGTAAATCAAAACCACATCAAGATCCATCTTACTCCCTCTAGGCTGGGCCACATTGAAAGGCCAGAAAAAGCAAATGTTGGCAAGAATGTGGATAAAAGAGAACCTTGTAGACTGTTGGTGGGAATGTAGGCTGGCCCAGCTCCTCTTGAAACAGTATGAACGCTTCCCTAAATGTTAAAAATTGATCTACCACCCAATGTGAAGTTCCTACTCCTAATTATCTACCCAAAGAATGTAAAATCACTAATTCAAAAAGATGTAAGTATCCCTATGTTCACTGTAGCACAATCTGTAATAATCAAGCTACGGGAACCTAAGTACCTAAGGACGGATGAGCATAGTAAGAAGAGGTGGTGTGTATGTACACACACACACACACACACACACACACACGATAAACCTTTGCCACTTGCAACAACATGAATGGGACTATCTAATTTATGCCAAGCAAAATAAGTCACAAGGAGAAAGTCAAATACTGGATGGTTCCACAAATGTGGAAAGCACAGAAAAAAACTAAAGGTCAGACAAGACTAAACCTAACACAAACTTTAGAAATATGACCGTAAAATTGAGGGCACTGAAAGAATAGGGGGCAGGGTGGACAAAAGGGTGTACGGGGTCAAACAGACCGGGGGAGGGCCATGGGTGCCTTAGTGGTGGGTTTGGCAAAAGTCTCACATAGAGCAAGATCTTTCGAAATAACTTTTGAGCCTGCTGTCCCACTTCTGGGTGTTTATCCTGTGGTTATACTTACATATACACAAAATGATGTAAGTGTGAGATTATACTCTGCAGCATTATTTGAAAGAGCAAAATATTGAGACATCCACTGCCCAGAGGTAGACTAACAAACTACCATAAACAGAAGAAGTGTGTGCAGGATGCTCTCTGTGTAGTGCTATCCTGATATGGAGTAGGTCCAGGATATATTTGCAGAGTCAAAAAACCAAAAAAGTACATGATCATTATATATATAATTTAACTGAATGTTATATATGTATATATTATACTATCTTTGCACAATATAAAGGGAATAAGAATATATATTTCATTTGCTTGTATCTGCATAAAGTCACATTAAAAGGATCCACAAGAGACTAATGAAAATAGCAGGGGCATGAAAGAATGAGGAGATGATTGGTGACAGACATGGGAGTCAAAATTCTTAGGTATATTAACTTCTACTCTTTTGATTTTTGGACTATATGTATATATTATCTTGAGATAAAATACCAAGGTGAGAGAGAGACACTACAGCCCTATGTCACTTTTGAGATTAGATAAAAAATCAAATATTACACAATGATGGCACTAAAATGCAAAAAACGCAAGAATATTTGAGGATTAAGGAATGTATTAACATAGCACAGGAGGAAGCTAAAGATATAAACTTCCAAACCAAAAACAACCCAGTGGGCACTCTTTGATGTCTAAAAGGTATTTTATAAAGTTAAATGTTAGTTCAAGTAAAAAAACTAAGTAGGAATGAATGGATGAATGGATATGACTTTATCTTGATTAAAATGCATCAATCCAATAGCCAATAGCAAAAACAAAGACATTCCCAGTATAATCAGGAACCAGATAAGCTGTGACTTTTATTTAACAAAGCTCTTGAGGTTCTGGTCAAGGCCTTAAGAAAAAGTAAGACTTTAAATGAGAAAAACAGATAACTGGATCAATTACTATGATTTCATACCTTGACAAATGAAGAGACTCAACTAATAAACTATTAGAGCTTATTTGATGGGTACATGGAGGGTTAGACAAGGATTACCTAATGAGAGTGAAATAAAACAATATGTCCCTGTGAACGTTTGCTCTTGGTTCCCATGGGCAAATAACCAAGCACCAAAATTCCATCTCCTACAATTCTCCAAGGATGTCTATGTTGTTCTGCCCAAATAACCTCTGAGGTGGTGTGCTTGTTTCACAAAGTAAACACAGGAAATTTTGCATGGAGTCCTGAGTTAAACCATCGAATGGGCAGAACAGAAACAGAGAGAGATTAGAAGTGGGAAAGAACATGAACAGCATGGAGGTTGGGCAATCTTGTAGTCAGTGAACTACCTGCAGTCGCTCAGGATCACTGGATATAAAAGGTGAGTCGGGAAGCACAAGAAGTTCCTCGAGAGCTGAAGCGATAACCAGTGTAAAGATGATTTTATCCAGGCTAAAAGACTGGTATATTTCGTAAAAGACATAACCCACTGTAGGGAAGTGATAGAATCAAATCACATTTATGTTGGAATTTTGATAATAATAGTTCCCATAGGAAATTCCTTTCTTAAACCCCCGGCACTACAATATTTGAGGGGAATCTAAAAAATAAGGCTATCATCAAGAGTTGAATCAAGTTTTATATATTTACAAAGGGTAGCTGCTGGAACTTAGCATCTACTTGTTAGACATCTGTTGTTCGTCCTGACCTGTACTGAGATTGTGTATACATGAACTGTTATATTTAAACCCCTTTGAAGAAAGGAGTTCTTTTGAATAATTACCACTTGACAGGACATTTTGATAAGCTATAATGATCTTACTTCTGGCAGTAACACATAATATAAGAGTTCCTTCTATTTTCAGTTACCTTCATATCCAAGTTCTTAGAAACAGTTTCTAGGGCAGACAAGAGCTCTTGAATTGTTTTTTCAACTCGCCGATGCTCATGCCTGATGAAATAAATGTCTCCAGAAAGCTTCACAATGCTGGAATCACATCTAGTGACAAGATAGAAACCGGTTGTGAGTCAACAGGTTCACAGTATTTTAATACTATAGCCAGAGATCACTTCTACTTTGCAACAAAAAAGCTACTCTAGAGAAAAAAATTAGGCATAAGCAGAATTAAACTCTTACTGCCCATTTGTTTTCCCTCTTGATGATTTTTTTTTAAGATTAATTGATTTTTATGCGTACAAGAACTGGGGTACAGGCAGAGGTGCAGGGGGTGAGAAGATTCATCAGAGACACAGTGTGGAGCAGACAGGCAGATTGACTGAAATACACTGAGGGGAGCAGTGGACAGGACAGAAAAGGTCTGCTGCACTGTGTGGGTCAGCTTGTTGGCTGGGGATTGAACTCACGCGACAAAGGCTGCGGACAGCTTCACAGTGCTGTGCTTTAACTCGGTGTGCCACCAGGCAGGGCCCTTCCTCTTTAAGATTAACTGTTAACTCACAGAAGTGTACCTCCTTCTTGCCCCTCTCGTGATTAACCATTAACTGACACCACCAGCACCCCCAGGAACATGGACAATTGATTGTGTTACATCATCAGTAAAAATCTCTGTGTGCCCTTGGGGTCGACTGTGTTGTCAGAAACAAAGGTCTGGTGATTACTGAGGAAGCTCCTAGACTGCTGGGCATCTCCTTGGACCTGGAAATGTGAAGCCCTGCACTTCCCTCATGTTCCTTCACTCCCTATAAAATCCCAACACTACCACCAGTCAGGGAGTCTGTTTTGGGGTGCCTATTCTGTCAGTACCTTGACTGCCATCTTAAAAACTCCTTCATGGAAACGTAATTCTTGAGATTCAAATTTTGACTTTTTGTGAGTGAGCAAAAACTCGGTTTGATTGATTGTATCCAATCCTACAGTATAAAACATTACAGGGCCTCTATATTAACTTGATGGCAAAAGTTTAAAAGCTGCTTGCTAAGGAGGTGGTAGAAGTAGTAGCATATAAAGGAATCTTTCTTCATTTTTATCTCTTCCTAATGGGGCAGATCCTCAACCCTGGGGCAGATGGAATAACAACACATTGGCTGAAAGCAGAATAATGAGTTGGAGTAATTGAGATGAAGACACTGGAATAAATTGTGGGAAATTTTAGATTTTCAGACTGACATATTAACTTAGTCTTAGGCTCATAGATTGTGATGTTCTGGGAATAGTCCCTACTGCCTATGGTTATGTAAAATGGAAAAGTTTTCATTTTCTATATCAAATTCTGAGCCCAATTTCCTTCTTTTAGCTTCTTTCCTTGGTCCCACATTATCAATAGCCTTCATCCTGGAAAAAGTGCCCCTGTCCTCTGGAGTCATCTTCAAAAAGCAATTTTCCTCCTCTCCGCCTCTATCAAATCACCTACTGCTAGAGTTGTCTCTGTGCTTTATTTGTTTGTTTTAAATTTGTTTTTGTTTTCTTACATTATTGTTCATTTTTGTGCAATTTAAGATCCCCTCAGTGGAGAGAAATACAGGATCTCAGTGTTTTTAGGGCAAAACCAATTCACAGTAACAGCTAAATGAAACTTTGGCCCATCAGGTTGCACGTGGTAATTTCAGGAAAAGACTCCAGCTAGTAAAATGGACTGAGAGGTGAAGATTAACCTCTTCTTGGTGTGTTATGGAAGCCCACCCCTCTCTCATCACACACAGCCTCTCTTGGGAGATAAAAGGTTACACCTACTGTATACTGTATGAAGAATAGCTTCCATACACTCAGACATGCCAGTGTGGTGTACCAAAGGGCTGTGTCTTCTATATCGACAATGTCAATGATCATGGAAAAGTTTGTCATTTATTGAAATAACTCATCATCAAAATAACCCATCATCAAGTAGATTTATTACAAACTACATTTTCATGTTGTCACTCTGAGTGTTATAAATATTGTTTCATGTCTATCCACATTTTTTAGGATCCAGAAATGAATTTCTTCTTAAGGTTAAAGCTGAGCCAAAAGTACATTAATATGGTCATTTTTGCCTGAGCAAGCCCTAGGTAACTGTGGCAGTGAGGTTGGGAGGTAAGGAGAGAGAAAAAATTAGGAATTGTTCTGATCAAAAATGGGAGCTGGATGGTATGCAGTAAAAGCCATTTCTCACATTCATATATATAAACTATTACTGTCAAAACAACCTTTTATTACTGGTCAGTTAAAATGTTCTTACATGAGTCCCATTAATTCTTCCCCCCCAAATTAGACAGGAAGGGTTACTGCTACCTCTACTCCCTGCCACCTCTCCTTGTTCCCACTCTGCCCCTTACTCTCAGGGACAACTGGCTTGGGTAGTTGTAGGCTAATGATTAAGAATTTTGGTCTCTGATTGCAGACCAGGTTTTAAATCTGGCTTCAGTTGCTCTTCTAAGTTTTATATCTTAGCTTCTAAGTCTCTATGCTTTTCAGTTTTCTTTATCTATGGAAAAAGGGTAGTATGTGGAGGTCACTATGTATAGTACACAATTTGTCTATCACCCAACTCCAGGGATGCCAGATACATAGGAGACAGAATAGTGTCTCGATTGCTCTTTGATCAATCTTTGAAACCTACATAGCATCCTGACTAATGTTACTTCATAGGGTTATTTGAGGATGAAAGGATGTAATCAATTCTCCCACTACCTGGTACAGAGGGGGCACTCACACTAGATCAGCAGCTATTATTTATTTACTAATTTGAGAGTTGTCGTCTCTTTATTTTAACCTCACCCAATTCCACTAGACCAATCCCACACATTGAAGTCACGATTAATGGTTTTTCAAAGGCACACTCCATATTTCAAAAGAAAGTTTCTCCTTCACTCTTTCTTTGGGATGGCTTTTTGTTTACATGAAAATAACACATGACCATTATGAGAGAAGTTTCACATAATAAAAAAAAATCAAAGAGGTGAGTTAACACTATTTCATCCCCAGTTTTCAGGAATGACCATTGCTAGTATTTGGTTATCATTCCATTCATCATTACTCTTTCTCTCTCTCTCTGTAGGTATTTGTATATAACACACACACACACACACACACACATATACACATATACATATATATATATTATATATATACCTGTATATATGCATACATACATATATAGAATGTATTTATATAATGTTTCTTTTGTTAGAATGTGACAAACTTTGCTTCATCCATCAAAGGATGGATGGTTGAGGTGAAGTCTGAGGTGACTACATTTTCTTCTTTTATGTGATTTATTTTGTCTACTTATTTCTAATTTTTTTTAAATAAAAATTCTTTTATCCTTGATCTTCAGTAACTTAAACCAGAATATCTTGTTTTCATTTTCTCTCAGATAATTTTTTTTCTCGGATCAATTTTCCCTTTTGATCTAAGTTTCTAGAAACTTATTCTCCTTCCTATACATTTTTTTTCTGAAGAATTTGTTCTGTTTCTTCTTCAGAAAAACCTATCAAGTCTTTATTAAGTCTGTGCTGAATGAGTTTCATTTGTCTCCCAAAATAACTTCTCTGTAACCATTTTTATATTGAAAAATATTTCCTGTTCATTTTGTTTACTTTTGTTTGTTTTCTACAAAAATAAGTCATTGTTTTTAGTTGCAGTTGTGCTACGTGGGGGCTTTTAAAGTAGATTTAAGCTCTCTAACATTTTATTTTTTTCTGTTACTTTATCCCTACACAATTCCAATTTAATTCTTATAATTTCCTATTTTTTGGGAAAACCTTTTATCTCAATTTTTGTCAAAATAAAAGCTGCCTATAGTTTAAAAGTCACTAACACCTAAAAGGCTCATAAAATCTGTAATGGCTTCTTGCTATCTCTCTTACTTCCTCTTCTTCCAGGCAGTATCCCCCCTTACCCAAGCCCTCAGCATTCCTGATGCAGCCAGCCTCTGTGCCTTTTGAGAATACTGTGGGGTAGAATGAGCTGACTCTCAACTTATTCCATAGTTTTAAAATTAAGTGTTATTTTGCTTGTTAAGTCAGTTTCATGTCCATCTGTTTTCTACGCCCAAGTCTTTGATGTTGATATGCTTGGGTCTTTGTGGGTTTGTATTTCGAAGAGAAAATCTACTGTAAACTTAGTGGATCTTTTGTAAGGAACAAAAGTACTTGAGGAGAGAGTCTGGATTATACATCTACACCCCAGCTGTTCAAGTTGCCACATAACTCTGAGAGTCAATGGAGCACATTTATGAGTCCCCTGGTACACACAGAAAATAAAAAGGGGGTTTAAATGGCCACTTGGCAAAAAATAGGCCAAGAACTTGAATAGATATTGATTCAAAGACAACATATAAATGGCCAATAGGCATATGAAAAGGTGCTCAAAATCACTAATCATCAAGAAAATGCAAATTAAAACCCCATCAAGATAACTTGATGATGCATTAATTAGTTTGATTATGGTAGTAAATTTAATATATAAATCCAATTGTCATATTATGCACTTATAACTATATACAGCTTTTAAACTTGAGATAAAGGGAAAAAAAGAGAAAAGAAATTGAAGCAAAGCAAAAAAGCTCCCCATTTTCTTTTTGATATTATTCCACTCATTTCTTGGTTTCATTTAAAACTCCTTGTCATTTTGACGTATATTAAGACAAGGTTTACAGGAATAAAATAATAGGTTTGTAAATGGTCTGCAGAAAGAAAAATGGTTGTAGAGTCATCAGCATACCACCAAATTGAATCAAATTCCATTTTCATTCAAAATGAAATGCTTGGTATTTTCTTTGCAAAATTATAGCACATTTAAACAGGGGAGTAGACTTACTGGTGTTTAACTCCATAACTTCCCCAAATATTGGAAATCTTGTTTTATATGTAGGAAATAGAATAATATAAAAGTTTATGTTTTAGAAGTATGATATATATTCATAAATAACATAATGGTGTTATGTCTGTATGTGTATATACCACTTAACACACTTATAGATTTGATTTTCATAATTTTTGTTTTTGCTACCTGCTCTGACTCTCATAGTTAATGCTTAGTTTAGGCCTATGACTGCTGAAATAGACTTACTTTCATCTCCATCCCTTTTTCTATACCATCCAATTTAGCTGCTAGAATGCCACTAAACATGAAATGTCACTCCTTTACTTAAATCTTCCCATGGCTATTTATAGCCCAATAACGTCCACAACATTCCTCCAACACTAGACCACATCTCTAGCTTCATCTCCCAAACTCTGATTTCTCACTAAATACACACTTTTAAATACCATAATTAAAATACCCTTCTCATAGGTAGGCCCTTGAATATGTCACCATCACTTATTCTTCATTTCTTTTGCACATTTCATTCCTGTTTTTGAATGTTTCAGACATTTCTTGTCTGGCTGATACAAATCCTTCAAAAGTCACCTCAAATGTCACCTCTTTCAGGAAGCTTCCCTAAAACCAAAACTGATTTTGGATATTCTCATAGTACCCCAGACTTTCTTTTATAGTGTTCACCTCATTGTTTATATTTGAAGCTTATTTTCTCAAGTGAACAGCTTTAGGCAGGAGCCTGTATTTCTGAATATCTGTGATCCTACCTACCACCTTGCCTGGAATATGATAAGGACTTAATAGATGGCTACCCTAGAAGAGGTATGTCTTGAACATTAATAAATGGAGATGGAGATGTTTCAGGAGTGAGGATAGAGGGTCTGGCAGAAGGTGTAACCATTCACAAGCCATCTTTCATGTCTACCTGAGTGGTTCTTACATTGTCAGTATCTATAGATTTTTTCCAAACTTATACCAGTAATTCTTCTGATTTAGAAGCCTCATAGAAAAGATGTTATTCGAAATAGCCTCCATTTTATAGCAAATAAAATGTTACACTTTTATATGTAACTGATATACCTCTTAAATGTGTATTCATTAGACTTGGATGCCTCTGGGAATTGTATGTATGGTCATAAAGGTGTATCTTTGTGTGGATGGTGTCATTTGGAGAGATGAGTTCTATAAAGCAAGACTTATTACTTGTGGATGGAGCTAAACTGGACATTCCAAATAAGGGGACTTTCAGAGATGTCTTGGATCTTACAGATACTAAGAGGCATTCAAATCCCACGATACACTTTTGAACTACCATCTCTTTAATTTAGTGCAGTGTAAAGCTAGTGTCTGGCTTTCTACAACATGAAACTTATTTGGAAGGGAGAATCCAGTGGTTCAGAAATGACTTCCAAATGACTTCTCACCTGGCTACTCTTCCCCGTAGGTCTCCAACTCCTTGAGAGTGTTTGGTGTTTAGTTCCTGTACTGCGTAGTTAGTTCCCGTGGCCACCTGGTCTCGAACTCTAATTTGGTCTTCTAAAATCTGTAATTTTGAGTGGAAATGCTCATTAATTTCTTCTTATATATGATCCAAGATCACCATTAAAAGCATAGGTTAGAAAGTAGAGTACATTCCACAGCAAGGTTGTTACATATCTGTTGAGAGAATCCTGTAGTGGCAATATGCAGCTTGAGCTTGCAAAGTGTTAAGCCCTGGCAAATTCACTTTTAAGACTATATGCTCTGGAAATAATAAAATTAATCAAAGCATATTTTTTGCACACATATTTTAATAATAGGCAAATACGCAGTTACACTGTTTTTCTAGGTAAAGAATTTGAAATGACATAGTAAAGAACTATGATATAATTTTATATGAAAGATTGTGCTTAAAATATAGTCTCAGCCTCCTTCTTGGCCTGGAAGTCTACAGGGAGGACATGAATCTGGGGGTTTGTAGAGTGCCATCTGGTGATGGAACTGTGAGGACTTTTTTTTCAGATTTAAAAATTTTCCCTGAACTTTCAAAATTATTACATTGAACACTGTAATGTTGCCCTTAAAAAGTTGGGGGGGAGGGCCCTCCCTGGTGGCGCAGCGGGTTAAAGCACTGCACTGAGAATCTAAAGCCACTTCTGTATGAGTTCAATTCCCGCCTGCCCCGGAGGTGACCACATGGCGTGGCAGACCTCTCCTGGCCCGTCCGCTGCTCCCCTCAGCAGTGTACTTCATCAATCTGCCTATTCTGTTCCCCACTCTGTCTCTGGTGAAGCCTCTCACCGCCCCTGAGCATCTGGCCTGTACCCCAGTTCTGTATGCACAAATAAATAAATCTTTAAAAAAAAAAAAGTTGGGGGGGATTTGAATACAACAAAATGATGTTTACAAAAAATTCTTTTTCTTAAGTTAAACATAATTTTAAGGTCTGTCATTAGCTGTCAGTTTGAAACATAATGTAATTTTTAAAAGGAATAAACAGAGTCCAGCAAGATAGTGGCAGAGTGAAGATTTGGGGGCTTCCCTCCTCCAAACCTGTAAAACAAGAACAAAACCATGGGTGGAAAAACTGATTACCACCATCCATACACAATAAGAATTAGCCTGAAGGATAGGGATAGGAAAATCCTTGCATGAACTCAGCCTAGCATGATCATGGGGCAACACAACTCACAAGAGGGAGGGGTAGCTGTGGGGCAGAGCCCCCATAGCTACTCAGCCAACTTTTGGGGTCTCAATACTTGGCACTACACTGGGCCTTAGGGCCCCAGGCCAGGCATGCAGAGGTCTGGACGCAGCAAAGTCTACTGGCTTGAATCTGAGCCTCGTCATACAGAGCAGACAGAACCTGCACTGAGTCAGAGCACCCAAATGTCTCCAAATACCGGCCACCCGCACCCCCAACCACAAATATGCTTCATAGCAGGAAGTCCATATTCCTGAATTTACTGGATTTGATCCTTTGATGCCTATTGCCTCACTATTTTTCATACCAACTACCACGATCAGTTCCCCAACTATTCCAACAAGTGTAAAAACAAGGGTTGAAAACCTAACCTTACTAGAACAGATACAAACTTGAAAATGAGGCCATAGAAGAACACAGTACAAATCCCAGAACAATGGATTCCAAAACAATGACCAACCTTCTGTTGAAACCTTGCCAACAAAGACAGACATAGACAGAGTTAGACGTAGGGAGACAGAGATACTACAAATTGCAACATCAGCAGATGCCTATATATCAAGTTCACTCAAAACAAATATTTTGATACTTTTTAGTTTTTGGAAAAAAAATTTTTTTAAAGATTTATTTATTTATACATACAGAACTGGGGTACAGGCCAGAGGTTCAGGGCGGTGAGAGGATTCACCAGAGACAGAGTGGGGAGCAGAACAGGCAGATCAATGAAGTACAGTGGTGAGGGGAGCAGCAGGTGGGTCAGGAGAGGTCTGCCACACCATGTGGATCACCTCCCGGGCAAGCAGGAATTGAACTCATGCTGCAGTGGCTTTAGTTTCTTAGTGCTGTGTTTTAACCCGCTGTGCCACCAGGGAGGGCCGAAAAATATTTTGCCTTAGTCTTTTTTAAAAGTTCATTTAAGAATTAATATAGAAGAATACAGTTTCAGCAAGATTTCCAGAGATCTGGAAAATTTTTTTTCCCCTTAAGCTGGATATTGTATTGGGAGGTATAAATATTATATCAAAGTATATACCTGATTGGATATAACAAATAAAATCAGTTATGTAGCAACAACCCAGGTCAAAATATAGAACATTCTAGAAATGTTTTGATATTTCTGAAAACATGCCAGGGCAAATAGAAAGTGTAAAATCCCTGAAGCCAGAACATGTTAATATGTTCTAGAAGAATTTGGAGGCCAGCGTGGCCTGAACAAAAGAGAGGTTATTGAGGCCACATTTTGATGGGCCTGTGAACCAGTCCTCCCAATGCGTAATAAAAATCTCTAGTTGAAATAATTACATTAATAAAATCTTGAAGATTTAGATTAAAATAAGCACCTCAGCACAATGTCTGACGTGATGTTAAACAATTGCCTTTGATGTTACAAAATAGACACTCAATAAATTTCCTTTGAAAAGAATTTCCTTCTCCATGTTGACATCAATGAGTGGTTGAAAACTTAAACCCATTTTTCAACTCAAATGATAGTGACTCATATCCAAAGGTGAAACACTGGTGGTTTATACGCTCTGTCTAGCAACGATGCAGACAGGGTTCAGAAAACAAATCACTACCTCAATGTTTTGGCTGAGCTTCTTGACGATACTGGTGATCGTCTGGATGTGGCTTTCCAGCAGCTTCCTGGCAAGTGACTCCTCCTTTCGAAAGCCATGAGCCCCCTGAAGACAAGCGGAGATGTCCTCCTTAATGCGGAAGGCTTGCTCAAGCAGAAAAGCGATGGTGCGCTCCTGGTTGTTCAGTCTGTCTTCTAGCTGACTTCGCTGGGTATTTGGAATAACAGGAAGAAAAGTCTGGCCCCTGGTCAAGAGAAAGACACGACAGCAGGGGGCATTAAACGAATGAGCTGGAGGAGCTAGAGCCAGAGCTCCCACCCTCACTTCTGCTTTTGTTTTCCACCCCCCCACCCCTCCAGCCCCCCCCCCCCCCGAATTTGGTAAGGCTTTAAGCACATTCATGGTTAGGGCCTTGGATTATGTCCTTGTAACAAGCTTGGATATTTTTCATGTTTTCATGGCACGACTTGTTCCGTGTAGTTACTCTATTCTAACAAGCTGCGTTGGGTGGCTTCTGGATCCACATAAATTTAACACCCATAACTTAAATGGATGAGAAGTCTGCTTCTAATAGCTGGAAGAAATGATAGCTCCAAGGCAAGATGTACAAGACTCAAATGAAACAAGCAAACACAGTAGATTAGGAAAAGAGAGGAAAAAAACCAAGGTTAAGACCTGTGTAGTATCAGGTCATTAACCATGTTGGCATTAACCCTGTTAGCATATCACTCCTTTAATTGCTAGATAAAATTTTTGAAGGACAAGTTACTTTCATTATGTCTTTTTCTTTAATTTTCTCTACTCACTTTTGTTCTACTCTCTAAAGTCACTCATAATTTTTTTTGGTTTAATTTATTCATTAGAGCAAGTCAATGAGTTTAGACTATACACAAAGGGAGGAGAATTAGTCTTCACCTTTTAAAAAATGAGATATAAAACAATTAGATCTTGCTATATTTTACATTAATTTATATTTTTATTGTCTTATGTCATTTTTCATTTTTGCACAATATTTCTCCACCCAGGTATAGTCCCCATAATCCTCCCACTCCCACCGTACCTGTGATCCATCACCATAACTCCTTGTGCTCTTCACTCCCCTGTTTTGTGATAGGCCAGGGTGAGGGACACCCCAGAACCCCCAAACCTATCTGCTCTAAATAAGTCCTGGTATCCACTGCATTAAGACAAAACAGAAGATCAGTGCAGAAGATCTTTAATGGAAAGGAACATTAATGCAATTTGTGTGCAAAAAGAGAAGAGAGGGGAAAGAACAGAGAAAATAGTTTCCACATGAAATATCCAGTTACCCATCTCCTTCTGGGTAGTTACCCAGCCAAATCTGGTTGGCCAAAAGCAGGGCCACTGATGCCCAACCGCTTGCTATAAAGCTAAGGCACCTTCTGCTGAGACCCATTCAAAAGGGACAGAAAGGACCAGACAAATCTGGAAGGAGAAAAACAAATCAGAATCAAGATAAAATGCTGTCATTGCTAACCTCCCATGGGTCTCTCACCCACATCTGTTTCAAGTGTCTCCTTCCATGTCCCCAGTCCCTGGCACTAATCCAAGGCTGGGACACAGCGCAGGGTCTTCACAAGTCTCTGCTCCAAGTGTCTGCTCCGGGTCTCTTTCTTGCTCCCTATCCTTTTCCTCCTCCTCCCTGTCTCCTCCCTAGCTTCTCCTCCTCCCTGCTCAGCTCCACCCTCCTTGGGTGGGGCAGGGGCCCTAGAATCACCCTGTTATATTTTGACCCCTCTCCTTCCTCCTCCCCTGCTGTTTGCCTCAGGTCTAAGGTTTGCCTGCAAGTTTTGTTTTTTAAATTCAGGACACTTTAGAACACCAGATCATCAGTGGTTAACTGCCTGTCTCCTAGCATTCTTCCCCCTTAGACCTCTCCATTTGCTGCCATTGACACAATTGTGTGGAAAGTAAATATGATTCCCCATCTTCCCTTCCTCTTAAAAAAGTAGAGAATCTAGGGAGAAAAAAAACGAGACAACTGTGAAAAACCCCTGGGCAGTGAGAGCTTTTTAAAACTGGGAATGTGTGGGCTGATGCAGTGAGTGCTGCCTTGTGAAACCCAGTTCTCTCCTCATGAAGAAAGACCTTAATTTCCAATTTTTTTCTTTACTTTTACTTTCTGTCATATTCTGTTTTCTCTCCTCTTCCACAGATGTTGATCCCAAAGTACTCCATAATAAACCTTCTGTTCAGCAGTCTCGGTCTCAGAGACTGTTTCCTGGGCAACCAACCAGAGTCAGAGGCGGCTTGGCCTGGGGCAAGATTGAGCTCAGCTTGGCTGTAGGCGGATCATTGTATTTCTGCTCTTGCTCTTCCCCTTCTATTCTCTGGGACTAGGCCCGATTCCTGTAAAATTTCAGACTTTGGGCTAAACATCCTCAAGAATAGCCAACCTGAAGACCTGTGTTGGTAAGAAACTAAAACAGCCTCCCTTGTGGTTCAGGAGTTAGTTTCAGTGCTCTCAAGCTCTCACCAGGGAGCTGACCCACATGGCGTAGCAGACCTCTCCTGTCTTGCCCACTGCTCCCCTCAGCAGTGTATTTCACTAGATCTGCCTGTTCTGCTCCCTACTCCGTCTCTGGTGAATCCTCTTACCCCATCACCTCTGGCCAACACCTCAGTTCTTGCATGCATAAATAAATCTCAAAAAAAGAAGAAGAAAACAAAACAATAACAAAATGTTGGGGAGCAAGTGGCCTTGGGATTTGCTTTCACTCTTCTACTCCCACATATCCCGAGATGGGTAAGTATCTGCTCTCCTTACATTACATCTTCTTGGGGAACAAAAATGAACACCTACCAGAAGTTATTTTGTAGGATGGGAATGGTTGACTATGGTTTAAAAGTAGCTGGGGTGCATTACACCCTACCTCCTGCATTCATTGAAGCTGACAAGACTCCACTGGAGACCAGGGTCTGGCTGATATTCCCACATAGAAATGAATTCACGGGCCAAAAATGAACGCACAGGCCAGGATGAAAGGACATTTGAGGAACACAGGCGTCTCAAAAGTCAACTAACCAAAATGTAGTCCAGCTTTTGTATTATGCTTTCCCATACAAAACAATGCCAGAATATATGCAAACAGAAAATATTTGGGCAGAAGAAAATGAGCAGAAGATGAAAAATCTTGAATACAGAAGAAAGGCAGAGACCAGAGTCAGCCAAAACATAGTTTGGCTGTGAGGACGGTCAGTAAGTCTCCAAAGACCCAGCACACTCTATTCCAAACCCCTACACACTGTTGCCACAGTCCAGAGCAATAAACAATGCTCATGTATTTCCTGCTGACAATGTTTGACCAGACCCAAGTGTCCACAAAAGTCTTCTAAAATGAAGATTTTATGGTGTGGTTCCTATCCTTCTCATTGACAAATTACCTCTGACCATAGCAGTGAGACTCTCCTGAATGGAACTAACACATCTTAGCTATTATCTTTACCAAGGATGTTAGAAAATTATCAGACACCTGCTTCTAAAACAAATACTTTGTTAAAGAATAATGTAGTCCTCCTACTTACACAAACCATTTTTCACAACAGCGGAGAAGCTTCAGGAATGCTGGTACCACTGAGCAGAATCTTTTCTGGCGCTGCTCTCCAGGCTAGTCCCTACCATCAGCAGCATTTTTAAAAATCACTCAATTAATTAATTTTTTTTATGCCATTGTTAACTTTTGCACAGCACTTGCTTTCTCCGGCCAGGTGGTATTCTCCCACCCCCCATCACTGGCGGTCCATTTCCCCCACCCTTGTGCATTCCCCTTCCCTGCTATAGCAACATTTCTTAATATGTGAATGATAAAACTCTCCTCATTACCTACTTAAAATTGTTGAGTGTCTTTTCCATTGTCTGAGAACAAGACCCTTACTGTTTTTCCCCGTCTCTTCTCCCCACTGTTTCCTCGATTCCCACTCATTTGACCATATAGGTTTATTCCTTGGCTCAGAGTTGGCACTTGGCTATTCCTTCAGCTTGGAGTACTGTTCCCAGCAATCTCTTCATGGCTGTCTCCTTCCCATTCTTTAGGTCTCAGCTCTAATAGCACCTGCTCAGGGAAGCATTTCTCTATCACCTCTCATCATTTCCATAGCATTTGCCATTACTAAAAATTGTCTCATATTTGTGTTTATTTTTTTTTTATTTTTTTTTAAGATTTATTTATTTGTGCATACAGAACTGGGGTACAGGCCAGAGGCTCAGGGGCGGTGAGAGGCTTCACCAGAGACAGAGTGGGGAACAGAACAGGCTGACTGACGAAGTACACTGCTGAGGGGAGCAGCGGGCGGGTCAGGAGAGGTCTGCCACGCCATGTGGTCACCTCCGAGGCAGGCGGGAATCGAACTCATGCGGAAGCGGCTTTAGATTCTCAGTGCAGTGCTTTAACCCGCTGCGCCACCAGGGAGGGCCTATTTGTGTTTATTTTTTCCCTCCATTATGCGAATGAAACTCTTGCTAGCTTTTCTCTAATTTTACCAAATTCATTCTCCACAGTCTTCTTAGCACTGAGTGTCTGACACATAGTAGGTGGTCACTAAATATTTGTCACCTGATTACTATTTTCTCTTGCAGATTGTCCCCCGAAGGCCCAGCTATTAGGAAATGGGGGAAAATGGTTTCATAAAGCTACAGATTATTTTGAGTTTTCTCTCAAGCAGTATGAAATAGTCTCCTCAGCCTAGATGAGATTTCTTTCTCTTTACCTGCAAATCTGAGAAACATAGATGCCCTTGCTAAGAGTTTCATTAATTGATTCCATATATGAATCATATGGTACAAATGTGTCCTGGACAAATTACCAAATGTAATCACATTGTATGTGTATATGTGTATACAGTATACATATGTGTACCTGTATGTGCATAATATCGACTCTGTTACAGGACAACCCAGTGTGAAATGGGTTGGCCTGACTGTGGGTCCTCACCTGTGAGCTTAGAAGGGACTTATTATGAAACTCAACAGCAGGCACACACAAAAAGTTTACTAAAGGGTTTATTTACAAAAAGGGGAAATGAAGAAAAAAATAACTCAGGGAGAAAGCGACAGATAAATTGATGCATGTGTCTTACCAGTTCCGCTGAGCTGGAAACCCAACAGCATGCTGAAAGCCAGTCAAAAACCTAGATGCCCCAAGGCCCACATGTCTGGTTATCTACCAAGCCTGGCTGCTTAACCCCAACCTCAGGTCCCAGCATGCTCCCTTCAGTGGGGATGACATGATGGGATTTGTAGTCCTCGGTGCCTTGGGTCTCTTTGGTCCGGGGGTGGGATCCATAAAACCTATTTGTAGAGTTCGTTCATTATGTCCTTTCTCCTCAACAAATCCACTCCTATTACACCCCACCATGCTGCCACTGCTGCCTGGATTGGAGGCATATGTCATACTCAAAGACAAGGGAAGAGAAGACCAGGCTCTGCTGGTGCTGTCACATAAAGACTAGCAGTGGGCAAGGCAAACAGATTTGCTGATTATTTTCCATGAGCTAGTGCTTCTTTCCTGCAAGCTTGATTTGTGAGTGAAAAGATGTTTGTTTGTTCCCCAGTCGACAGTCTTATACAGATACTTTCATTTTTTTTTTCTTATGAGTTCCTACTGTGGCAGGCACTGTGGATTACCCAACACTTGATTGTTTCATTCTCCTGTCCTCTCTCCTTTAGGGATTCAAGCTTCTCGTGGGGGTCCCATTCTGTTCTTCAGGGGCGAGGTGTAATTGATTTAGGTATGAGCACCTGAAGCGATTCTGCGTATGAGGCAGCAAAAGATGTCTACTTGGGGGTGTCTGGGTGAGGAAGTGATGCACAGGAGGAGACTGACTTTCTCTTTTTTGGCTGTTGTCGTCTCTGTGCTGGGTGCCTGGAGTGGCTGAAGTTATCTTGTGATCATGAGTGAAGAGAAGATTGCGGGGAGGAAGAATAGAAATGCCTGAGTGCTTGATGATGTTGTTTAGCCTCCAAGTTCATCCATCTCCAGACATTTTTATATATGAGCTCATCGATGCCCTTACACTTAAGTCAGTGTAGATGGAATTTTATGTGCAACTGAAGGCTGAAAGCACTGTTTCTGTATCTAGTAACTCGCCAATAAAAGTGTCAGTTGAAATAGAGATAAATCAGTATTTACTGAACGTCTAGTTCATGCACCATATATAATGGTTCTGTGCCTGAAGGAACTTAATCTAATTCGGTGCTTCTCATAAAGAAACTTGAATTTTTCATGGGATGGGAGGAAAGTGGATAAAATGAAGATTGTCTTGCTCTACTACGGAACTGCTAAATATACTCTTGGAGTGGGGGAGCGCAAGAATATGCGCTTTAAATAAGCACCAGGTGACTCTGGTGTTTCTAAAAGTGGAGCATCTCTGATATACTTCAGCCTGGTCATGTGACTACTGTGAGACAGACTATATAAAGAAGTGCTGAAGCGTGAAAATACGGAATATGAGCACTCACGTTATGTAGACATGCAGAAGCAACTTGCCAAGTTGGGAGGTAGCTAGACTGAAGGCAGAATACAGGCTCTTTCACTTACTGACCAATTGTATAGGCAGGAGATGCCTATACAGGAAATGTGTTGCTTTAAGTCCTGACACATAAAGCAGG